AAAAATATATTTCCGGTCAGATTGTATAACAATAAAAAATTAAGTGAAGATTAGTTCATTATGTTTCACTCGAAGAAAATTTATTTAAAACTATTTTGATAGGGTCGAGTTATTGATGTTAGATGATTTGAATGAAAGGATGAACAATTAGTTAAAATAATTAGTGTTGTATCGAAATTAATTCCAAAAGAAAAAAAATAGTCGAAAAATTAAATTAAATGTTTAATTTAACCATCATATCATAACATATAAGGTGTAATTATTTAGATAAAACAAATCTACTTAAAATGAGAAGATATAATAGAATAGAAAAATCCCCATGAAAAGATATAATGAAAAAATTTATCTCGTAAAGTGATGTAATAAAATTCTAAATTGATTAGATATACAACATATATTATAATATATAAATAAATAAAATCATCACGTTTTATTGAATTGAATTAGATATCTAATAATTTTTAATATAATATTAAAATCAACTTTAATAATACTAAGACATAAAAATATATTTGAAAAAAAGGAAATAAGATAACAAATCCTCTTTAAGATTATGGTGTATTAAAAGTACGATAATGTATAAGTGAATAGGTAAATACATGGTAAATTTTTTTTCAAAAATAATATGAAAAATTCTCTTCATAGTAAATAAATGTGATAATATCCTAAATTAATTAAATACATAATAATATTATAATATAATATATAGGTGAGTAAATAATTTTATAAATATCTCACAATTTATAATATTTAGATTTCTTATATTTATATAATTTTTAAAAATTCAGGAAATCAACACACAAACAAGACCATTTAAGTAATATGGATTACATCCTTTTGAAGAACTAAAATTTCCAACATTATCGGGAGGCCATGAAAATACGAAAGAAGAGGTCATATAAAATCTACCCAAGAGTGAGTGAAGTTCCCATTTTACCCCTTTATGGGGTATGCCCTAATTATTAAAGTGGGAAATCCCACTGGGGTGACCTACATCATCATTCACATGGGCAAGAGAAAACACAGGAATGGGCAATAAGAAGAATAAATCACGGGTCAAATATGCTTTTTTTGTCTTATATATTAATATTAATTTTGTAGCATCAGTGTATATATTCAACTATGTATTATATATTTTGTGTCAAGTTTTGAAGAACTCGTAGCTTATAACAAAATGATTAAAATGCGTGAGACAAAGCATAAGTGGTGGAGATGTTGCGTTAATCAAGGATTAATAAAAGATTGTTGTTGTTAATGTTAGTCAACTAATGCCATTTGCCTAATCAATTTTTAACTTTCTATGTCTTTTCTATTTGTTCTCTTGCAAATGTCATAATATTCCTTGTAATTTTTATGCAGCACTTCGACTCTACGTGTTTGTTTGCATGCCAACAAAACCCTCTTTCACATCCACTCCTGATGTAACGTTATGCGTTTGTTTGAATTTTTTAATCAGTCAAGTAAAATTCATTTTCAAAATTTCAATTAAAATTATGAGTAAATCAATTGTAGTCCTCAAGTGTGTTTTTCAATAATAACTTAGTTAATCAAATAAGGATATATTTTTAGTTATAATAACTATGTCTTCGGTATAATTAAACTTATTATTTAACCATATGATTTACTATTAATTCAGTCTTGAAAAATATATTTTAATGTCAAATTATTATTTGAATACTGTAAATTTAAAACAAAATAATATCATAAAATTTAACTTGGTAGTGTAATTTTTTAAATTTAACATTAATTAGATTCATATTTTTTAATATGATATTCAATTTTATTTTAAAGATGTTAAGATTATTATACCAATTATTATTAAATTTTATAATATCATTTTATATTTTTAATATGATGTTATTTTTTTAAAAGATATTAAAACTATTATACCAATTATTATATCCATTATTATTAGATTCTTATAACATTATCTATATTTTGAATGTGAGGATATGTTAAATTTTGATAGAGAGTATATAAAAAAACATACATTAATTAGATATACGATTAAATTATAATATAAAAAATAAAGGAAATACATGTGTCAAAATTATTTGTATAGATTTTGAACTAGACATTCATTTAAATATTTGTTCTATTATATAATTTATTTTAAATAAATATTTATACTTTATATATTCCAATTTCATTTTTATCTAAATTTTTCTTCTATAAAATATACGTATGGTAAGATTATTAATTTGTAATATTGTTTTTAATTTTATATCTAAGACCATTTATAATGAATTAACATAAAAATTAAACTCTTGATTACATCACATAAATAGTCATTAAACTAATTTTGGATTCCTGATTTATGCTATAAAGCGATCACAGATGCATATTGTATTAATGTTCTGAAAGGACGTTTGGTGAATTTTGTAGATGGTTTTAAAACAAAAAAAAATTATTTAAACCTAAAATTATTTTATAAATTTATTTTTTGAAAAATTGAATGCAAAAGAATTTCTGCGAAAAGTGAGTATAGAGACGGTGCTCATGTCTAGATACAGTACAAATGAATCGTGACCGTGGATTAGTTGATGATATGATATGAACAGTCAAACGCGTGGTGTGGGTCAACGTAATTGAAAAGAGCTTGATGGTGTTTGGAACTCGTGAATGGGACGAAGCCGAAGAGGACATTCACAAAACGCACATTAATGACTTTGCTTTTCCCAAAACGACATCCACCTAAATTCAATGCACTCGATCTACGAAATTAAAATAGAAAGAAAAAAAAAAACAAAAAAAAAACTGAAATTGCAGTATCTGACAAGAAAACGACAATTTGTTTCGACGTTTCGTAAGACCAAGTTTACTCACTATCACTGCGCAGTTATCAATATCTTCAAACATTTATATGCCATTTGTGCCCTTCTCTTCGGTCACTGTCTTTCATTTATTTATTTATTTTCTTCTTTTCAACATTTACAGCATCATATGCGACATAAAATATTAAAATGTTCTACAAACCATTACAATTGCATAAGGTCGATATAACATTCTTCATTAAGAATGTTTGGAATGGAATATGTGAATTTTTTTTTCTTTCAGATTTTATAATATTTATCAAATGATTAAAAATATTAGTGTAATATTAACCAATTTTCATTAAAATAATTTCTAAATCTATAATAAATATATTTTGTTGGAACATGAGTTTCTTTCACAGAATTCATGATATGTATATGTAACAACAAAAAAAAAAAAAAAAAAAACTGGTGCATGTATTTTGATTTGGATAAAATATATTTGATTGGTTAAAGTTTGTGTTTTGGAAAGTGACGTTGAAATTTGAATGCAAAAGTTGTAAGTGTGTATAGAGGGACAAGTGGAAAACATTATTCAATTAATTTAAAATAACAGTTTAATATGATTTCTGGGATTATGATGTATTGGATTGAGATTTAAAAAATAAAATAAAATTAACGTAAGAAGTTTTGTGAGTTTTAGAAGAAATAAAAATGTTACGTCTTACGTTTATTTGAAACAAAATTTTAAATTTAAATGAATTTATATCGTAACAATTTATCATCATTCGTTATTATAAGAAAACATATATTTTAAAAAAATGTATTATGAAAATTATTAATATATCATATTATTTTATATTCTTATCTATTTTTTATGATCAAAATTTTGATATTTTATTTATTTTGTTCAATATCTATATAAATAATAACTAAAAGGAAAATAGTTACTATAAAATTAAAATTTAAGGGAATACGTGTTTGAGCGTAAAAAAATAGATTAAAATAATTAAACCTATTTTGTTTTCATTTTAAAAATTATATAAGCATAGATTTAAAAAATAAATAGACCAATTTTAACTTAACTGGACAAACCATAAAATACGTATTCCGTCACAAATTAGATCAAAATCGAACAAAACCTATTATTACTTATTTAATTGGATCATGTTTTTTCAAAAGATATTAATAATTAACATAACATCCAATCATAATGTAAAATATTCATTATATCTTTTATATACACTAAAAATATTCATTTTACATGAAAATAAAAGATTGAATTTCACCAACTTATTATGAGAAAACGAAGAAAATTAGATTAATTAGTCCGTCAATTTGACTAAAAAGTGATAATACAAGTTAAAATTTTTAGCTTAATAACTTTATTTTGATTTATCTGATTTTAATTATGGTGAATCAATTCATTCCGTCTTATTTTTTAAAGTTAAAAATAAAATCGATCAAAATAAAATTAATTAATTTATCTAGTCATTCTTAATTAGTTACTTTTAAACTAAACTAAAAATTTCATAGGAATTAAATATATTTAAATAAAATAATTTTAAATAATTTATTTATATTTGTTATATATATTTAATTTTTTTCAAAAAGTATTTTTAAAGAGAATTACTAATAAAAAATGTTTAAAAATAAAAATAAAATTTTTATTATAAAATATATATTTGAATTACTTTAATATAGAAAAAAATATTTAAAATTAAAAAAATTATTTATATGAATATTTTTTACTAAATTTTAAAAGATATATTTATAATAAAAAATTTAATTTTATTCCGTGATAAAGTTCCTATGAGTACTAACTTCAGATATACGGTAGACATTAACAAAGGTTTTTTTTCTTCAAGGGTAACAATAGACAATGTTACCCCACCTTATGAGAGCAAAACTCCAACATAGTAATTTCCTAGTATCATTGCACAGTACAAGGAAAAGCAACAATAAAGTAGTAATAAAGAAAGCCAAACCTGGTCAAACACAGAACAGTGAGATGGTCATTACTGATTGGATTTAATTATATTCGTATGCACTTATTATACAATTTAATACTATTTATTATTGTTACAGTTTATGAATAAAAATGTATGATGAAGACAAGAAGAGAGAGAAAGATGTAGAGAGTAGGCGTGTGTATGAGTTTCCTGAGCAAGCTTTTAAGGGATTGTTGGCAATTAACAAAAGCAGAACCAAAACAACTGTCCATTGCAGGGGCTTGTGAGTAAACACATGAGTTTGCCGGTGGAAAAAGGTAACGCACAGCACAACACAACACAACACAACACAGGGGGTAATACTAATACCCAAAAAGTAAAAGGGTGGGTCATGAGATGAGGTAATTTCACAGCAAAGAAAGAAAAATCAAACTCACTCACACCACAGAGATCTATTCTCTGCAGCAAAAGTAAAAAGCTTTGCAAGCAACAAAACCACCCCAACTCCTAAATCCAGAAAAAGGCCATTTCTTTACATCTTCCATGACCTGGGTAAGGTTTGTCTCTGAGTGAACCAGACAAACATTTCCTCACTCTACATACTCTTTAGCACGTCTCACTTCTCACTTCACACACAACAAAAAAACTTCTCCATTCTCTCTCTTTGTTACATCTCTTTCTGCCAGCTCTTTGTACCAACATGTCATTGCAAGTTAAGTGTTTTTGCTGGTCCCAGAGTGAAATCTTTGGATTTTCATCCCTTCCCTTGAATAGAACTTGAGGGAAATTGGTGAAAGAGGGTGAATAACAGTGCTCTACAGTTCTTTTTCTGGTTGGTGCCACCTGCATTTGTGTGGTTTGTTGTACTTTGTGTACTTCCCCTTCAGAGTTGGGGCTTGCATTCATACTGAAGATGAGGAAGAATGGGTGGCAGCTACCTTACCATCCTCTCCAGGTAAAGTTTTAATTTTTATTATTTTTTACAGGATTTAATACTTTTGTTCTGTGAGGGGTTTGCCATTTTCAGAATATTTGTTTTTACGAAGGTGGTGGCTATTGCTGTGTTTTTGGCTCTGGGATTTGCCTTCTATGTGTTTTTTGCTCCTTTTGTTGGGAAGAAGATGTATCAGTATGTTGTCATGGGCCTCTACACACCCCTGGTAACCCAATCTTGAACCTTTATCTGCTTTATGCCCATTTTACTGTTTATAAGTGGGTTGGTTGAAGGTGGGACGAGATCTGTGGTTGTTGCTTTCTGATTCAATGTTTTAGTTTCAAGTGTCTCTAATCTTAATCTCCAATCTGGTTTCTTCTCTCTTTCTTACTTAATTTTTGCTTTATTTGTTAGCATTTAAATAGTTTCACTTTAATATTGTATGGAGTGGTCTCCTTTTTATACCCTCCTAAATTAAATTATCTTCCCAATTATAAATTGATTTTTAATAATGTTTTGTGAGGTAGCCTTGTGAAGATGTGTAATAAAGGAATCAAGGCTTTAAACTGTTCTGGCTTTCATATTTGTTGCTGTTGACAAACCAGGCACATGTATATGTCAGGAAATTATTCTCCAAATTCTGAATGTTTGAGTTTTTTAAACCCATGATAGCACTAAATGTTCCTTATCACATTCCTTTTTTGGCCTTCTTGATAATTATGGCAATCACCCTTTCCTTTGGAGGGATGTTGATTCATGTAGAGTAACTGGGTAAGCCCTTTGTCAAAACTGGAACATATTCATGGAAGCTACCTTGAAGGTGCTACTTAAATAGGTTGGAATTGAATTTTGCAATAGTTTCAACATTCTGCTTAAATGTACTACCAGTCAATATCTGAATATGGGTGACAATTTGCTATTGAGTTGTCTTCTGTCTCCTTAAATGTGGAAGTTGGAACTGTTATGCATGCTTTCTGATGCCACATTCATGAATGACAGAGATAGCTCTGTTTGCTAGTCACTATGCCAACTATTAAATCATTAGCATTGTCTTGAACTTTTCAGTTTTAAGATTTTAAGGAAAAACATGGAAGCAAGTACAAACATTATATTAATACTAATTTTTGGAGATTTGAGAACTATAAATATTAATAGTCTTCCTAAGGCTGTTGGAACATAGCATAGCGCTGATAGTTGCAACTTGCAGGTGGTTACGTTTGGAGATTATTGCAGATAATGATTTAGGTGCTCTCTTGAGAGTTTAGGATTTGCATTTAAGTAATAGCTGAGTTTGTTAACAACATTCATGAAACTGATTCAAGAACTTCTCGGTGAAATGAATTGTTATCTTAAAAAGTCCACGAGGGCATAAGCTGCAATAAAATATTTGCATCGAGTTTTGTAATTTGCATCTATCCCTTAGTTAAGGACTGCTTTGGCAAATTGATTGGCAAACTTCTGGTTTCTGTGCGTTATTTGAATCATGATTTATGAAATATTATTATTTGATGTCATTTGATTTGATCCTTGTAGCCTACCTCACCAAGTAAAGAAAAATTTATTGGTGGTTTTTGTAGATTAACAATCTTGGATTTTGGACCCAAAGAATTACTTTAACTATCCACTATGGAGAATGAACGTTTATAAACTGAACTCACGACACCTAACAATCTTTGACTGGTATCGTATTTATCTGGTAGAACCAATGGAATGTTAAATGTGTGGGTAGCAATATAAACCCACCATCCAATAAAGAGAAGTTTTTGTAGGCTGAGTTGCTTTTGTAAACTATGTTCAGCATTCTGACATTTTGTCTTGCAGTTTGCTCTTTTTGATAGACCTTCTTTGGCCTTTTTAGGGCCGCTAGTGGTTTACTGAGCTTGCATCATTCTGTCTGTGGGTCAATATTTCTGGCTTTGAGTGTGCTTGCAATACGCTTTACCAATATGGAGTGACAAATTATTATTTTGATATCAATTATATGGACTTGTTAAAGATGGGAACTATCTATTATATGTCTTAAACTGCACGAAGGACAATATCATGTAGTAACACCTCTCCTCTTGCCAGATTACTTGTGTCTTTGCACTGTACATTTGGTGTGCAGCATCTGATCCTGCAGATCCTGGGGTTTTCAAGTCCAAAAAATATCTGAAAATTCCAGATAGCACAAAGCTTGATGGACTCAAGAATTCTAAACTAGGAGGGGAATCAACTTCATCAATTCATGATGGAAAAACTTCAACTGTTGGACCAAAATCAATTGATAAGGAAGAATTGGGAACTGAAGCTAGTTTTAAAGATGCTGCTATTTCTGCAGAAAAAAAAAGTGCATCATCTTCACCTTCTTCATCCTGTCTGTTATTGGTTTGCTCTCCTTGTGCTTATATCTGCGGCTGCTCAAGTTCAAGTAAAGAATCTTGTGATCAACAAGCAAGTGAAGATGGCATGTTCTATTGCAGTTTGTGTGAAGTTGAGGTGAGAGAAGCATTTTGACTGAAAACATTTGTTCCTCCAAGTTTATTGTAGCATTCCTCTCTGAAATATGTCAGTACGGGAAAATATAAAATTTCAGGCTATAACAATCCTGCAAGCCGATTTTAGATATACCATATGTGCATTCGTTGGTCTTATACTCAAGAATTTCATTGGTGCTACAAATTTGTGCTCATCTTGAAATGCATATACTTTTAGCATTGCATGAATGCTTGGATTCTGTCAATTTTGATAATAAAGAAGTTGAACCATTGAGTAATATTTTTGTTGCAGGTCTTCAAGTACAGCAAGCACTGTAGAGTTTGTGACAAGTGTGTTGATCGCTTTGATCATCATTGCAGAGTATGATAATTAAATTCTCTTTTCTTTGCTTATCAATTGATATTTATCTCTGAAAGGACCGTTGCTTCTTGGATTTTGTAGTGGCTCAACAACTGTATTGGGAAAAGGAACTACAGAAAATTTTTCACCCTTATGGTTGCTGCTCTCCTCTTGGTAATAAATATTGTCTGCCTATACCTTTCTTATCGTTCATATGTTTAAATATTGCATTATCATTGCATAAACTCTAACTATGTGTGAAGTATAACCATACCCTACCATGGCCATACAATTCAAATATAACTCTGCACTAGATCACCAGCATTCCGAAATCCCTTGTTCTGAAAATACTATCTCTTTATTACTTTGTGAGTACCTTAGTCCGTTATCGAACTGGAACTGGATGAGGAGATGAGATCTTAGTCAACATAACAATATTTTTTGCATGATCTTGAAACCAAGGAACATGTTTATATATTTTGTTTCCTTAGTGTCCTTGTCATATACTTGATATTCTTCCTATCAAGTCTCAAAAGTTGAACTGTCCTAAAGCCCAACTTACTTGTTGGAAGCAACATGCCAAAACCTGAAGAAAACCCCAGAGTAAGCATTTTTAATTTCCTAGTCATTTTCATTTTGATTAACTATTGACAGGTATGTGCATGGTTTGTGCACCTTGGGCTTGGGATTGCAGCTTATACTTCAGTGGTTGACTGGGATACTTGTGCTTATCTGCTGTTTTGTTGAGAAGAAGAAATTTTCTGTGGATATCTCCTCCAAGTTAGGGAGCAGTTTCTCTCTTGTTCCCTTTGTCATAGTTGTGGTAAGCTTTCTACTTACATTCGTGGTGCATATTATGTTGTTACTATATTACTCAATTGGTTACTATGCACACTTAATATTTATTCTTTTGTTCTGTGGTTAGTTGTTCTTTAGCTTCTTTCTTTCCCTTATTATTATGCGTGACAAACCTCTTCCTTTCACAGGCAGTCTGCACCATTTTGGCTATGATTGCTACCTTACCCCTTGTTCAGCTGTTTTTCTTTCACATTCTTCTCATTAAAAAGGTAAGCTTGGGAACCTGTTGAATATAAAGAAAATATAGTTTGGAACTAATTTCCCTTGTGTATAAATCACACATAGGGTGGTCTATTTATAGTAGAGAAATACAACTAAAAGAGTAACTGAAAGTAATAGAATAAACAGAAGATATTGTTTGATATTGTGGTTACCAATATCTAACAATATCTTAACAATATCAAATAATATATAAACAATATCTAACACTCCCCCTCAAGCTGGAGCATACAAATCGTATGTGCCAAGCTTGTTACAAATATAATCAATTCTAGGACCCCGTAAAGATTTAGTAAAAATATCTGCTAACTGATCACTTGAGTTAACAAACTCGAGTCTTGATATCTCCAAACATAATCTTTTCTCGAATAAAATGACAGATCAATCTCAATGTGTTTGGTCCTCTCATGAAAGACGGGATTAGAACTAATATGAAGAAGCACCTGATTGTCACACACAAGTGTCATTTGAGTGACATCTCCAAATTGTAACTCTCTAAGCAATTGCTTGAGCCAAACAAGTTCACGGAAGCCGAGGTCATAGCTCTATATTCTGCTTCACGCACTGGATCTTGCCACAACACTTTGTTTCTTACTTTTCCATGAAATCAAGTTACCACCAATGGAGACACAATATCCAGGATGTAGATCTTCTATCCGAAGGAGATCCTGCCTAATCGACATCCGAGTAGCAAACAACTCTTGTATGGTTATTAGAAGCATATAACAATCCTTTTCCAGGAGATCCTTTAATATACTTCAAGATACGAATGACTGCATTCCAATGATCTTCACATGGTGAATTAAGAAATTGACTTACCACACTGATCTGCAAAGGAAATGTCGGGACGAGTAACTTGTAAGATAATTCAATTTTCCAACCAATCTTCTATACTTGCTCAGGATCAGATATAGGCTCCCCCGATTTGGTAGAAGTTTAGTATTGGGATCCATGGGTGTATCAACAGACTTTGAACTCATCAACCCAGTTTCTTCCAAAATATCTATGGCATACTTCCTCCGAGATATAACAATACCATCATTGGACTGTGCTACCTCAATACCCAAGAAATATCTAAGTTTGCCAAGATCTTTGGTCCGAAAATGGTGACAAAGATGTTGTTTCAACTGAGAGATGCCATGGTTGTCACTACCTGTAAGAACAATATCATCAACATATACTATCAAGTAAACACATCCAAGACTCGAGTGTCGATAAAAGACAGAATGATCTGATTCACACCGAGTCATACCAAATTGTTGAACAACCTTGCTAAACTTTCCAAACCAAGCCCTAGGAGACTGTTTTAGGCCATATAGGGATTTGCGAAGACGACATACCATCCCGAGAAGACTCCCCCGAGCAACAAACCCAGGAGGTTGCTCCATATATATTTCTTCTTGCAAATCACCATTGAGGAAAGCATTTTTAACATCCAGTTGATAAAGAGGCCATTGTTGAAGAAGCGACCATGGCGATAAATAAACGAACGAAGCCATCTTTGCCACAGGGGAAAAGGTATCTCCATAATCCAACCCAAAAATTTGAGTATAACCTTTGGCCACAAGACGAGCTTTGAGGCGATCAATAGTACCATCGAGTCCAACTTTGATAGCAAACACCCACCCGCAACCAACAACAGATTTCCCAGACGGTAACGGGACCAATTCCCAAGTTCCACTATTATGAAGAGCACTTAGTTCATCTAACATGGCCTGACGCCAACCAGGATGGGCTAAAGCTTCACGGACAGCTTTTGGAATGGTCACGGAAGAAATAGAGGAAAGACATGTATAAAAAGGTAATGACAGTCGATGATAACTCAAAGCAATATAATGGGGAGAGGGATTACGTGTAGAACGAATACCTTTTCGGAGGGCAATGGGAAGGTCGGACTCATGTGTCGGATCCGGAGGAGACAGAGTAGTTGGCACTTGAGTAGAGTCACATGGTGGTGGTTGTGATTGGTTTCGAGAACTATAAATCGAAGAGGCAGTGGAGAAGAAGCTAACTGCAGGAGCAGAAACTAATGGTGAAGAAGACACAATTAGAGGGTCACAAACAACGGGAACATTAAATGTATTAGGAGTGTTGACAAGATTGGATGGAGACAGAGGTGAAGTTTGACTTTTAAAATAAAGAGACAACTCATCAAAGGTGACATCTTTTGACACAAAATAACGGTTAAGAGAAGGAGAAAAACATTTGTATCCTTTTTGTGATCTTGTAAATCCTAAAAAAACACATTTATGTGATCTAGGAGAAAGCTTGTCCGGACCGGAATTGAAATTATGAACAAAACATGTAGACCCGAAAACTTTCAGAGGTAAAGGATGAAGTGGTTCATGAGGGAATAAAATGGAATGAGGTATTTTATTATCTAAAACCGAAGAAGGCATGCGATTAATGAGATAACATGCGAGTAAGAAGAGCATCACCCCAAAAATGTTGAGGAACATCTCCATGAATTAAAAGTGTGCGAGTTGTTTCAATAAGATGTCTATTTTTACGTTCAGCCTACACCATTTTGTTGAGGTGTATAAGCACAAGAAGTTTTATGCAAAATACCGTGAGAAGCCATGAATTGTTTAAAAGAATGAGAAAGATATTCACGGCCATTATCACTACGCAAAACTCTAATAGAAACACCGAACTGAGTTTGAATTTCATTAAAAAAAGTTTGAAAGATATGAAATAATTCAGAACGATTTTTCATCAAAAATAACCAAGTGCATCTGGAATAATCATCAATGAAAGTAACAAAGTATTGAAAACCTAAAGTAGACTTAACGCGGCTAGGTCCCCAAATGTCAGAGTGAACCACGGCAAAAGGGGACGAAGCACCACGTGTGAAACTACGAGGAAAGGAAGTACGACTATGCTTGCCTAATTGACATGACTCACACGCCAAACTAGATAAGTTAGACAAGGCAGGGACAAGTTTCTGTAACTTGGCAAGGCTTGGATGACCTAACTGAGCATGAAGAAGAGAGGGAGACTCCATAACTGTACTAACATGTGTAGAGGGACGGAGATAATAAAGAGGAGAACAAAGATTTGTTACCAGTAATATGATCAGTGGCTCCTGAATCAAAAACCCAAGGACCAGGAGAAAATGATTGGGTCAGACCAGCAAAATATGTATTTGTATGTGTGACAGATATAGTGGAACTAGAAGACTGTTGATCCTTATACCATTCGAGAAATTTGTTGAACATAGCAGACATGTCGGATGCAACAGAAGAAGGAAGATCCCCTACAGATAAAGGTGGGGAAAGATTGGTCTGAACAACTACAGCAGACTGAGGAGAACGACCATGTAATGTATAACACTTGTTAATCTTGTGACCTAGCTTGCCACAATGTTCACACTTAGGACGCCGTTTTTCCGAGACAAGCAAAATCATATGTCACCGGTAAAAAAAAATGAAACTCCGGCGAATTCTCCGACAGCGGCGGACCCAGTGACTGCTCCAGCGGCAGCGGTGACAGTAACGTGAACTAGTACACTAGGTAAGTTCCCAGGAAAGAGAGGTGGGTCACTAATGGACACACTTAAATACCAAGTCTTTCCTTGCCAGAACTTTCCTAAACATGCACTTTCACACTACCAAATAAAATTCAATGACAAAGATAATTCTTTTCTGATGTGGAGGATCAGTTTACCAGCAGCGGTGGGGCGGCTCTAGCAGCGGTGGGGCGGCTCCAACAGTGGACAAAAGGCGGAAAAAAAATTCAAGATAACCTTAAGCTCTAGATACCATGTTGAATATAAAGAAAATATAGTTTGGAACTAATTTCCCTTGTGTATAAATCACACATAGGGTGGTCTATTTATAGTAGAGAAATACAACTAAAAGAGTAACTGAAAGTAATAGAATAAACAGAAGATATTGTTTGATATTGTGGTTACCAATATCTAACAATATCTTAACAATATCAAATAATATATAAACAATATCTAACAGAACCTTTTGGTAATTGAAAACCTGCACACACACTACATTTGTAAAATCATCTTATATATGTGCTCTTCTCTCTAATCTCTCTTTGACATCAACAGCAAGAACAAATTTAAAAAAAAAGACATATAGGACATTATATGATAAATGTATAAAACTATACCTCTTTGCTTCCCAGATGCCTTAATATGTATTCTTGGGGGCAACATTCGAATTCATTTCATTTTAAAACAATAAAGTTGTTTAGTACTAAATATTATGATTATTGTGATTTGACTACTCAGGGAATCAGCACGTATGATTACATCATAGCTTTGAGGGAGCAGGAGCAGGAGGTGCAAATTGGAGGTCAGCAGAGTCCCCAAATGTCACCCGTTAGCTCACTTACTGGATTGAGCAGTGCAAGCTCCTTTACTACTTTCCATCGTGGTGCATGGTGCACGCCACCACGTCTGTTCCTTGAAGATCAGGTAGCATTTTCGTTTCACTACTGCTATTTAGTATTTTACAGTAGGACTTCTGCCTGGAATTCCTTATGTGATTTTCCATTTACAGCACTGGTACATATGTTTCAATTTTGTGTAAACCTGGCACATCATTTGAATGAATGGCTTAGTTATTGAAAATTGTTACCGAATAAAACAAAATTTAGTGACATTACTGAATGGAAATGGAATACTACTATCAAATCGGCCATGTTCAAGATGTGTAGTTAGTTATAGCAGAATTCCTCAGATGTTTTATGACTCAATAAAAACATGTATTGAGAATAAGTGTCATATTGACTTCAGAAATATTACTTTGCTTTCTTGATGGTATGAGCTGGTTTGCACTGTGCAGTTTGATGTAGTGCCCCCTGAAACAGCTTCTGTAAGCTCGCTGGGAAAGAAGACAATGAGAGACGAGCCAGTTAAGAAAAAGAATCCCGGAGCAGTCAAAATCAGTCCATGGACGCTGGCACGGTTGAATGCTGAAGAGGTTTCCAGAGCTGCCGCAGAAGCAAGAAAAAAATCGAAAATTCTTCAGCCTGTGACAAGACATAACAATGAGCCTTTCAGGCTGGATCCAGACCACAACTCTGGCAGCAGTGGCCGGCGGATGAGTCCCAGGATTGAGACCAACAGAAGACGGGCAGGCAAACGGATTCGTCTGCCCGCTGACTTGCCTATGGAGGCCATACCAAAATTTTCTACCAGCAACATTGTTGCCCAGGGATTCAGTGGAGCATCTAGTTTGGCACCTCTCCAGCTTGAAGCGGCAAGAGGTGTATTTCAACCAAGTCAGGCAGTGTCAAGCTCAGCTGGGATTGTTGCTTCTTCTCCTGAAAGCAGTCTAGATTCGCCCGACATTCACCCCTTTCGCGTGTCTTCGACCGAAGCCGAAGAAGCAAGAAGGCTTGCCAGTCTTTCTGCCCTTGGTGCTGCAAACCTGAAGGAAATCCCTCTGTCAAGGTCAACTAGTGATGGGTATGAGGCATCTGGTGGGGAAGATAGCGACAGGGTTCCCACCAGGATTGTTCAGAGGTCCACAAATTGGACTAATCTGCTCTTCAGTGCTGATCAAGAGGAGAGAGCTTTTGATCCAAAACCATCATCTAGCTTGGTTCATAGTAGAAAGTTGTGACCAATTTGGGTGTTGATTAATTAGACAACTATTTTCAGATTATATTGATGAGAATTGTTCATTCTTTGATTTGTGAGCCCAAAGGTACTTCAACATCCCCTGACCCTCACCTTCTTGAGGTTGAGTTGATGCCCCTCAAAGTTTTGGTGGTAGGCTAAGTGGGAAGTAAGTGGAAACCATGTACAAAGTTTTAGGTCACAGTAACTTATGAGCCTGAGCTTCCCAATATAATTGTTTTGTGATCCCTATTGTGTTAAAATCTTAACCAAGCGAGTCCTCTCAATTTATTTTTTTTTCACATGATTTCTTTATGTAATCTTTTTATAAGTTAAAAAATTAAGACGCCATATTAAATTTTCCTTAAATTTAATTTTAACTTGTGATTAAAACGATTTTAATGCATGAGAATCTTTTATTTATTTAGTGTTTGTTGTAAAATTTAATCAAATTGAACTAAAAATCTAACAAGAGGAATTTTACTGAAGGTGATTAAACAAATTGCGATGAAGATTAGTCTCACAAAGTAGGTAGATATTATGAATGAAAATGTTGTAAAAGAAAACTTAAACGGGATTCGAAGCTTCTTGTTGCTACATGTTTGGCTTGTGCCAAACTCAGAACAAACATAATCACTGCAACAAGTCTAAGTTACTGCTGTTCAATCCCTGGAAATCGTGTACAGGGTTCCCAGAAGTACAGTGGAAAAAAACGCTAAATTGGATATAAAATGGATGAGAGTTGAGTTTGAAGTATGATATAGATGCATAAAACAAATATCATGCAATGAACATGTGATGCATTTCATTAAGTGGTTTGAGTTTGATTTCAAATGTAAGGAAAACATGTCATTAGAAGAGTTCACCCTCTTTTGATTTGTCTTCATTTGTTTATTGTTCACAATATAAGTTTATGTTTCCGCTCACTGCAAGAAAAAATATGTTTCTTAATCTCTTTAATGATCTTTTCATTTTAACTATTGGATTTATTTTTTTATATATGTTTTGGTAATAACAAATATCTACATTATCTATAAAAATAAATAGTTTTTCATTCACATTCTTACTAATAATTTGATTATTTTCTTCGCAACTATAATTTGAAACATAATACATAACCATGTCATCCAATATAAAATTATCCAAATGTAATCATATCATGAATACATAACCTTGTCCTCTAACTCGCAAATCCTGTATAACAAGTAATCCCCATTTATGTTTTACCCAGGTAACAACACATTTAGTGATGGTATGTTCAAAGATACTCCAGGAAAAACTAGTTAATGATCAAATTCAACAAAACTTTGGGGTAGCCTGGAAGAAAAGATCCTATCATGAAATTTTGCAAAAACTTTCTATTGCAGTTCATCATCACTTACAACAAATAAATATTTCCCTTAATATCAGGAAACGATCACTTTTTTGATGGTTGAATGAGAAATATTATTGTCAGAGGCAAACAATCAATGATAAAAATCACCAACCACCACCAACCCCACCACCACCACCACCACCAACACCACCACCACCACCACCACCACCACCACCAACACCACCACCACCACCACCACCACCGAATCTCTCCATTGCCTCAGCTTTCTGTTGCTTCACAATTTCAAGTATCTTGGGATTGAAGAAACGGTCACGAACATATTTCCTCTCCGCAGCCTGTATCTCCTTGATAGCACTAGGGTATGGGTTTGGAGGAAGTCTCTTTCCTTGAAGACGTGCAATTTCTTTCAAACGGGTATATGCTTGCTTCTTTGCCTTCTTCTCTGTCAGATATTCCATCTAGGAAGGGGGAATCAAATAAAAACAATACAACTGCTTGTTAGAGGAACAAATTCTTCAGATAATTTATTCAAGAACCATGTTAGGTTACATACATCAGCTATAGCCATTGCTCGCTCCTCACAAACTCCACGCTCTTTCAATTCAAGAACCCTCAAGGCAAAGATTCGAGATGGAGGGGGGTCAACAGCATGAAACCTGTGGAAACATTAATCATGTATTTGAATAAGTGATTAATGCATTTGATACTTCAACTTCGTTATTTCCATGAACAAGTAGAGATGGGTTAGAGCCAATTTAAAAGTTCTGTTGATGTGAATGGAGGCAAAGTAACAAAAAATTATTCTACTGTATGCATCCAGTATATGTCAGTCATCACATTAGTAAAAAACCCATTCCTATGAGGAATTCTTCACTAATAGGTAAAAAAACCAGCATATATTTTTTAGGAGAAAGAAATCTGTTAATAAAAGTAGATAGAGGTTGTAAGTTGTTTCTGTTCAACTGTTTCTGTTTAACTGTTTCTAATCAACTATTAATAATAGTTGATAGAAGTGCTTTAGGGGAGGAGATTATTTTGGGGTTGTTTTGTAAATCTGGCAGAGAACCTTTCTCTGAGGAGCCTAGGTCTGGAGGTTGCTTGTATTCTTGCATCTCGTTCTGGAATTCAATAAAATTTTCTTTCATTCTTTCTTCTTTATCTTGGCATTTTCCCTTAAAACATATCACATTCAGAACAGAGGAAATGTGTAAAGAGTTAAAACAAGAGACATGGGATGAATTTTGTGTTTGAATTACATAGCAGAGCATATTATATCATGTGCTATAATAAAGATAAGGATAATTCCACACAATTACAATAATATATTATCACTCTAACAACATACAATTCTACCTAGTTTACATTATTAACATACTTACATTATTTCCAATACTTAACCTCAAGCTAAAATATATGAGATTTGTCTAAATGCTCAGCTTAGTGGGAGAATCCCAAAATTTTATGTAAGACCTTTGTCTTCAAACAAAAGATATTTGTTCACAAAGCCAACATATATTAATATTTTCTTTTAGCGTGTAACATGTATAATACTAACATATAACTGGAAATAAGTTTAAGAAACCATGTAAACCAAACCCATTTGTTAGAAGAACAGTAAGGTATCCCAGAGAACCATTGAACATAAATATAAGAAAGCATTATCATATAGCGGAAATAAAGACACAGATACATACTATTTTGCACAAACAAATTGAAAAAGGGGATAAGAACATAAGGAAAACCACACCGCAAAAGCAACTATTGTACTTGCCTGTTAGAACAGGGTATTACACTAAACTAAGCCGTTTTACATGCTCATTTTAGAAATTCATATGAACAATCATGTTAAGAGAGGGACAGGATCTTAAATTTCATACAAAAGCACAGTAGTTAGTAAACAAGGTGTTTCATTAATGAAAGGGGTAACTGACTACAGGCTGTACACGTGGCAGCTGATCAGGTGACTGAGGGAATGTTGAGTGATTCTGTTAGACATTGTAACAGAATAAGGAAAATGCCAGTACAGCAGAGAGTGAGGGAGAGTATTTTTAATAGGAAAGGAAAGGTAGAGAGCATGGGATGTGTGAAGTATTCTCTTATTCCTGGTGTTCCCTCTCTATCTGTTTCTTCTTGTATAGTCTTTTGCTGTATTCGGTTTAGATAGACTAACATTAATTCTGCCCTCTTGTTACACAACTAAAATTACACTGATTCAGATAGACATTTTAACATTTATGCTATTTGGGAATTTCTGTTGAATTCTGTTTGTGCTGCTACTGATAAGTTGCAGGGTAATCATAACAGAACGACACAAGTTAAATTGAACTTGAAAGGGCTGTTAAATGTTTTCCGTATTAATTTCATTGTTTTCACCACTTGGTACAAAGATTTTAAAGATGGGAAACAACATTGAAAAAAAAGGACATTTTTTAACTAAGAGTAAAAAAGAAAACAAAACAAAACATTTCCCTAAACCAAATAGGCATGACATAGTGACATTTCCCCCACTCATAAATCAAAATATAGAATCTCAACCACAGTTATTATATATTGATACAGAGAAAAGTGGCTGGAACATTGCAAATGGAACAGCAAGGAAAAAGGACAATACTTTATGGCGTCATGGTGTTTGGATTCCGGATACTTTTTATAAAACTTCTTCACATAAACATCCTCCGGAAGAGTGATGACCGGAATTTTACCCGCAACTCGAGGAAATGTTGCAGGTGGAGCCCTGGCAAACACATTAAAAAATATTACACAAATTACAATCCTTCAAGAAAAAAAAAACACAAAAACATCATCACCACGCTTAAATAAACATTCAGTGAATCAAAAAATTCATTAACAGTGAAGTGCAGACAACAGTGAACAATTGAACACCGAAAGCATTATAGTCGTCATTTTGATTAAGGAAAAACGAACAAATACATAAATTTCCGAAATTGCACGATAACATACAGAAATTGCAAAAAGGTAGCGTTTTGGAGCAAATGAGGGATCGGTGAGAAAAACCCATATGGGAGATTCAGAAATGGTAAATGAAAAGGAAAATATTGAAGAGAATGGATATGAATTAGGAGACTAACTGTTCCATGGCTTTGAGCCACACGGGTTCTGCCTTGGCGAAACCCTTCACGAGCTTCCTGGTTCGAGAAAGCAAATCTCCCCGCATAAACGACATAGTTTAGCTTTGTGCCGTTGTTGGCTGTTGCAGTGAGGAATATGAATATCGACTAAAAATAAGGAATTGACTATGCCACGTCGTTTCAACAGTGTGTGCAAATACAGCAGCGCAAATAGCCCAGTTCAGTGACCTTTTGGTCCAGCAGTTGAACTGGGTTTAGATTTTATATTCGTTTAACCTATCACTGAAAAACAATTATCAATTAAAATATGAAAAACAAATATATGAAAAATTATAAGTTAAATCATATCATTTAAATAAGTACAAGTAAAAAAAAAGGACGGTTTCATCTACTTTACAAGTGAAATAAAAAAGTATTGATGATTTAATCAAATTTATATTTTTAAATGAATTATAATCTTTTGTTTATCTAATCTTATATAGCAAATAATTTGATTATTTTTTTAAATGATTAATTTATCTATATAAAAGTAAAAAATTTTAAAAAAGTAAAAATTAAAATATTTTAATTAAATTTATATTTATTTTAAATATAATAATTTAATATATAAATTATAAAATAAAAGATTTATTTAGTTAAAATTTATTTTTTGTTATTAATTTTAATTATTAAATTTTAAATAAATATTAAATTTTTTATATTTCATCAACAAAATCTTTTATTAAATTAATTTATACTATATATCTATATATATTAATAAAATAATATTGTTTTTATTTTTATTTAAAAAACAATTGTTATTTATAAAATACTGAGGTGGACTATCTCAGTTAAGCCCGTATATACCATCGTTTTAAATAAGGAAAAGAAATTTCAAAGTGAATTTTGATTTCACTTCTCATATGCTGTGTTAAAACAAAAAAATTGGTTGTTGGGTGAGTTTATTTAAACTTAAAACTTTTTTTTTTTTTTTTTTTTTTGAAATTATTAAGATGCTAACTCATTCAATTGCTGTTGGTGTGAAATTACAGTTCGTTCAGTGCCAAAGGAAATTTGGTCGCTGTTGTTCCTTCCCCTCCTCATTTCCGGGAACATATATCACTGTTAACACCAACACACCCAAAACCTCAATCTCGTTCAGACCCCTCACACCCTTTTCCGTTCAAACTAAGGTAAATATTGCATCATCAACTGGTGCAGTTTCTTTTCTACTTTTCATTTTCCATTTTTTTGTTTTAATTTCTTCCTCTTTTTGAAAAAGTGTGGCAAGATGAGCGAGGTCTTCGACAGGTACTTGCGCCAGTACTGTGAGCTCTCTGCTAACCTCTCCCGCAAATGTAGTTCTTTCTCTCTTGTTTCTGACCAAGGTACTTTCAAAATGCTAATTTTATTGTCTCGTGATTCACCCTTTCTGCCGTTTATCGCTTTTTCTTTGTGCGATTTGGTGTCTTAAACTGCCCATGTTTTCTTGCGCTGCTCTGATTAGTACGGAACGCATCATAAGTTTTGTCCGTTAGGAACTGAACCCTTCATAAATCATGGCTGTGAGAAAGAAAACTAGGGTTTTCTTATCCAAAATTTGTTGTACTGGAGATAATTTGAGTGTCAAGATGTGGTCAAAGCAAGTAAAAGTCGTTATTTGGTGTGGTTCAATGATTTTGTGTTACTGCTATACGATTTGATCTATATGATTCAATGAAGTATCCGATATTGTTGATTATATTATCGGGAGTAGTCAGGTTCTTGGAACTCTCTGATATTCGCTGGTTGCTGTTGTTCTATACTGTGATCGGCGAAATCGATTTGTTCATGTGTTTCTTTTATTAATAATAGTGTTTACTTTACTTATTGAAACTGAAAACTTGGACAAATTTCTAGAGGAGGTGGAGGATTTTATTTACTGTGCTGTGTGTCTGATGTTTTCTGGAGCCTGCTTATGTGTATATAATGGCTTTTGTTTAATTTTAAATTTTGTTTCTGATTTTTTTAATCAACACTATTTCAGAACAGAAGGTGCAGAAGTTTGCTGAGATCAAAGCGGGACTAGATGATGCTGATGTTCTGGTACTAAGATGAATGTTTTCTTAAGTGTTTGTGCCTTTTTTTTTTCATAGGTATTATCTTCGATTCATTTTTTATATCGCTCTTCTCCCTCTCCAGATTCGGAAAATGGACCTTGAGGCAAGAAGTTTGCAGCCAAGTCTAAAGGCAATGCTTCTTGAAAAGTTGAGGGAGTACAAATCCGACCTAACCAACTTAAAAAAGGAATTTAAAGGACTAACATCACCTAATGCTGATGAGGCTGCCCGTGAAGAATTGTTGGAGATTAGAATGGTAGATACTCATTTGGTATATTTGGAACCCTAGATTGTATTGCTTAATGACATCCTTTTGTGAAAAGTAAATATAGCAAACAGAGTTTGTGGCATTCTTGCTTAGAGATGTGAAATATATTTTCTTCTCTTAGGATCATGAATGAATATATCTTGACCTGTTAATCGACTGGTAACAGTTAGAAATATAACTATAATATATTATAACCTTTCCTGTATCTTCACCTAATAACAGCTTAAACTTTTTGGATAGTTAGTGCTTGACATGTTACCAAAGCTGTTATGACTAAGTGGTCTAAAGTTTGATAAAAATGTTTAGTTTCAGCCTGAGATAGTTGCATTATCTTTGCTTCAAGCCCGAAGGGGTCATGCCTGAGGAAACATTATAGAAATATAATATAAAACCATGAGTGTGTCTTCACCCAGCAACTTAATCTTTTAGAATAGTGGGTTCATGACAGTAACTACCATTAAGGCTTTTCAAATAGCAATCTTCTGGTTGAGATATTGTGGGAAATATTGTTGAGATATTTCATATAATTAGAGAATTTTTGTCCATTAATGTGATTAGGGAAATATACTATATTTCAATAATTCTATTATTTCTAAATTATAAGCTTAGGTAGATTGATTCTTATCTTTGATTCTAATCCCTAAATGTATAAGCTTAATTATCTAAGCCCTGTATATAAACATAGAACTTTTATCATGAAATAAGCACACCATTCTTTAATTTCAACATGGTATTAGAGCGATAGAATCCTTTGTGGTCTGTCCCATCATTACTTCATTGCTAAGCTCCCTAAAATTCTGAGTTCTACTTTAATTTCATGAGTATTCTTACAAATTAATCATCTTCCATGCTGTGTCAACCACCCTCCAACATCTTGTGATGTTTTAACTCCCCTTTGTTACCTTATTCGTTCCAACATGTTCAGTCCCCTTCCAGTTGTCTATTTAAACTATGAAATAAATAATGTGGTTGTAGTCATTGTTACAACCGTTTGTTCCTTGCCCACTTCATACACGATAAAATGCCCAAATGAACCACATGCTAGGATATCTATAATGTTTTTATTGATTGATATATACCTTTTCAAATCTTATTTTGTTGCTTACTGTTGGGAATATAAGCATGAACTTATGTGATATTTGTGTATGCATTTTACTAATATAGCTTATAATTCGTTGCTGGGTGATCCTTTACCAGGACTCTCATCATACAAACAACTCACGCCAGGAGAAAGTTCAAAAGTTTGAACAATTTGTTGACAAACGCTTGAAACCTGATCTTATTCATGCTATTAGTCAGCGGTATAATGTTTGCTTCTATGCAGTTTATTCATTTTTATTTTGAAACAATGTGTATAAATTCATTAAATGTATTTTTTTCTACTCATACCTAAGTTCTTCTAGTGGGAATTGCTAAGATATATACTTAGTTCACTCTGCAGAATAAGTTATGTATGTTAGTTCACTCTATTTGTGTTTCACGGTATTTACTCATTTTCTCACCTCTTAATTTCAGGGACAAGGTTTTTGAACAACAAAAAATATTGTATCCTTTTTTAGTTTTGTGTATACAGCTAGCATCAGTTAGTACCAGTGTAAACTGAAATGTCAGCAGCACAGCAACTTTATGTATCATCATTTCTGAAAAGTCCACAGTAGCATTGAAAATACAAATCATGTAAATCTTACTAATAGGCTGAACTAAATTGGGGATTAGTCTGTGTCTAATGACTAACACCTAAAGGCTAAAATTAACTTTTTACATTGTTGTATGTCTTGACTTGTTCATCAGTGCTGATCTGCGAAGGAACATTGAAAACCTAGAGAAGAATAGTGTATCCAGTCTAAGAACTTTGGTCAATCTTGGGTCTGAAGTATACCTGCAGGCAGAAGTGTAAGTCATCAGTAATTTAGTTTTAGCTTTTGGTGACCATAATATATATATATATATATATATGTTCTTGATTTTGTTATGGTGCACTAATATTTTATCACCAGTCCATACGAATCATGTTTTTCTATTGCATATTATCTTTGTAGTCACTGGTCATCAACATTTTCTATATATCATCTTTATCACCATAAGTCATCATCATCTTATCATAAATTAAGATTTGTGGTACATGGGCCAACTTGCACGTAGACACTCCCCATTTCCTCTCCCCTCCTTCTATAAGGTACAATCCATGCATGGAGATTTAAACTGAGGGAAATCCCTCACCACTAGTACAGTGCTAGTTCATTTCTTCTGTGCATTATAATTTGTGCATCTTTGTTTTTTCTAGAGTCTAGTGAAATGTACATCTATTATATATTTCATATGTTTTATTTAAACTTTACAGGCCAGATACACAACACATATTTGTGGATGTAGGATTTGGATTCCACGTGGAGTTTACTTGGTCTGAAGCTTTGAACTACATAGGAAAAAGGGAAGAAAAGATAGCTAGGTACAAGTTTAGATTCAGCATAATTTACTAAGTCGAAACCTGATAATCAGTGTTTATTATGGCTTTTCAGGATTTTTGTTTTTAATTTTGTTAGCATAGTTTAACTTTGTTAGAATAGGTTAAGTTGTCTTCTTTAGAAAAAGCTGTTTCACTTTTACCTATTTGTCACCTAGATTTAGTTTTTCTTTCTATTTCTCTCTCTTGTGTCTCTCATGTAAGTTTTCCTATAAATAATAATAATAATAATAATACATGGATCAGCTAAGAGATGAATCCATCTCTTAACACCTTTTCTCATATTTTCACTCTAAGTTGGTATTAGATTTGGTCAATCCTGCTCTGTCTATCATTGTTCGATGATTTTGCTGCCATCCGCTGGTTATCGCCCTTTTTCTCCAACGAACGTCTACTCTGGTTTGTCTCATCAAGCAAAGGAGAACACACTATTCTGTCGTTGGCCACCATCATCTGCTTTGACTGTTTCAACCAACACCGGATCTGGTGTGTCTTGTCAAGCAACAACTAACCCACCAAGTCGTTGTCCTTGAAACCAGCTTATAAGATGAGGGTTGCCCTCCACTTGTATACTATATCTTGACCATATCTCTAGTTGATATAATATTTTTAATACACCCCCTTATATTAGAAAGTAGATTTAGGTCTAGCTCAATTCTATAAAATTGGTTTCTATGGTGAGGTTTGTATTCCACATATATACTACAATTTAGGCATATCACTAATCAATGTGGGATTTTCAGCGATGATTATGATTCTTTGTACCTCTAATGATTTTCTTGAAGATATTTTAACTAAATCTTTGAGAGAACCTCAAATTCAATTTATATGTTCCAAGCTTTGTACATATAATTTGTATGCTCCAACTTTAGGAGAGTGTCAGCATAGTTTAATTTGTTAGAATAGGTTAACTTGTCTCCATGGAAAACTGTTTCACTTGTACCTATTTGTCACCTAGATGTAGATTTTCTTTTTATTTCTGTATCTTGTATCTTTGATGTAAGCTTTCCTATAAATAATGCATGGATCATAAGAGATGAATCAATCTCTGAAGCCCTTTTCTCATATTTTCACTCTTGAGTAATTTTTTAGCAACAATGTGGCAAACATAAATGTGGCGGTTCAAATGATGTTGAAACTCACTTTAGTGAAGTTGTGGTCAAGATCCTCATATTTCCTGTTGACATAGCTATATTAATATTCTCCATGAGTGTGATTCATCCATGTACTTGTAATTTTCAAAAATGCAATGAAGCACTTGGTTTTCTTTTGTAGTGCTTTGTTATTTCATTGGCTAGGAGGTATAGTAAAAGTATGTGTTCTATACTTATACAAGGTTCTTATCATTCATGTGATTGCCATTTGGCAATTTTTCTATGTTTTCCTTGAATCTCACTGTTTTCCATTCCACATGTTTTGGACGTGGATAGGCCAAAAGCTGATGATGATTGATGTATGTGTAGCTTAGGTTAGTGATTCCGGTTGGCTTGTGATTTGTAACACTAAACAAGTTTCACATACATTGAAAGAGCATATAGTTTGGAAGGGTTGACCAACATTATGAACATATGTGCTCAAGCATTTTGGGTAATGGTATTAGTCCATCAATTCTAAGTTATAGAACATTAGCTACTTGGTTTGTTGTTTCACTACATGAGATTGGATGCCAAGATACAACTAAAAAAGTTTTGTCAAACATCATTATGGAATATCCTTGTTTAAATTTAATGTATTTAGTCCTGGAATTATGACAAGGCCTTGACTTCCTGTTATATGTTATCTTTTGGTAATTTTTTGGCCATTGAGGGTCAAAATTATCTTTATTATTTTCTTCTCTTTCTATCTGTCTAAACATAATCAGTTAATTTTATCTTCTTTATTTACTTTTCATTTGAAGGTTAAAACCTGAAAATAATGTTGCATGTTCAAACTTAAGACATGTCTTATGTTGCAGGCAAATAGAGGAGTACACCCAGTTGATTGCATCAATTAAAGCCCAAATTAAGCTTGTATGTATAATTCACCCTGTTTTCTTCAACTCACCGACTTCTTAATTACTTTGCTTATTATAACTATTCTCATTTAAGTGGTGGTAATTAGTTAATTAGACATTACTTCTCAGAGCTGTCAATATTAGCTAGCATACCACGCACTGCCCTTGACCACATGAGACAAGCAAACAGCTAAGGATGAAAACCCCACGAAGGGCCTAATGCCCTTAAGGCCAAAAGCCTACAGCTAGTAGGTTATGACCAATTGATGGGTCAACCCACTAAGAAAAAGAAGTAGCCTACCTCTTACTGGGTTGCTCTAGTATGAACTTGTGCATACCAATAGAAATAACAATGGACATTAAAATGTAATCTACATTACCAAATTGTTAATTGGAACAATTTGGTCTATGTGACCGATTATAATACCTATATAACTAAGGATTTTTTTCTATGTTCCTTACCATCAAGGTGCATCCATTCACCATTTTTTCTTCAACATTTTCTGTCATTTTATTCCATGATTATTTTTCATTTGACTCCATGCGTTAGTTTCTGATAAGATTTTCCCCGCACATTTTTCCATTGATTTTATGAAAAATTGAATGCCTGATTATTGAAAATTTGTTTAAATAATATACTGTACATCTCTACGTGGAGGGACGGTAATGTTGACAAATATGTGAAGGAGTACAATATACTCATGGCTTATGCAGCATTTATTTACTTGTATTTGAAGCTTGTGTTTTTTCAATTCTTTCTATAAAAAACTGCATCAATCAATTTGTGAGGATAAACTTAGAAACAAGTTACACATTGAATTTTATTCCACTTAACGTGTTCGGTAAAATTACATCTTACTGTCCTAAGTTATAGGTCTTATTGTTAATGCACAGGGTTAGTCGATTTGAGAAGTGAGCGAATTTTTTTAATGGACTGGCCTCAACCTACTTGGCCCTATGTTTCTTGGTTGACCATTATAAGTTAGGGCTGAACTAGTTGAGTGGATTTGCCCATTTTGATGGCTCTTTTTATCAAAGAAAATGCTGGGTAGTGTTTAAGATAATTCTAGTACTGATGCAGGATTGAATTTTCCATCCAGATATTTTAGGAAAATTGTAATATTTTTCTATTTAAATAATAATTATTTTACTCTGGAGTTCCTTGAACTTTAACTGTTACAATGCAGGTTTGTGAAGGGATTCGAGAATTACTTCAACTTCCAGCTGAGAAATCCTTACCAGAGCGGATATTTTGATATTTACTGAATATAGACCAGGTTGCTCATATTTTTTACCATCATTGCAACCATGTAAAGAGGATATTGATATTTATACCCCCGCCCCCAAAATATTGTATCTTTCTTTGACTTTGTATCAATTACATGAAGATACAATATGTGCTATCAGGTTTTCTAGTTACCCTTTTTGTTTTTTATTTATAATGTCCTGTTGTATCATAGTACCATACCATTGTGATGCCTCAACCTTAATGTATTTCAAGGTGAGGTTTGTTCTTTTAGCCATTAGGTTCAAACTGGATGACTAGGGAAATGCCAAAATCAGGCTTGAATTTATGGGAAAATGTTTATAAGGGCTAATTTTGTTTTGCATTAAAAGAATTTGAAAAAACTAATGGACACACAAAATAAAAGGTTTGTTGATAAATACTAGTGAAAAGTCTGACAATGGGAGGTTGATGGACCTGGGTTCGACCTTGATGCACAAAACTACAATGAATCCTCTTTTGGTCATATGTTCATTGATACCAGTATTTAAATTTGATTAATGAAACAATTCATATAAACTAGTGTATACTAAATAATTGACAGCAGTGCCTAACAAATGAAATCGTATTGTTTAATTGTAATATTAAAGTAGGTAACGTCCCTTGGATAATTGTGGACATATAAATAAAAATAAAAAAGCAAAAAGATAAAATATAGAGTACAATCCAACAAAGATACCCAAGTCACATCATATTAATGAATGCTGGGACATTAATAATTCAATTATTTGAAACTCTGTTGCAAGACAGAGCCAACCAGATGTTAGTAGTATCACGTGTTTGAAGTAAAATCGCAGAACAACTTTTGTACTCATCCATTGGATTATCTATTCATTGAATACAAAATGAGATGTTACAAAATTACAATATCCAAAAATTGGATTTTAAGTTGCAAGATGAGATGGAAGAAGCTGATTTCTACTTACTGCTTACTGAGAGGCTTAGGAGAAAGAAGGATAAGACGGAAGTGATAAGACTTATAACGTAGATCCATAAAACAACACAAGAAAGGTAATGTCATGTCGTGGTTTGTCTGATAGGTTATGCATTCGGTTGATGGCATCATGATTGGTGATTGATCATAAGGCTGTTCCTGCTTTTATTGGTATGTGTGTTTTGATATGAAATGCATCTGAATACCCTCTGATCTGATTTAACGGAAGCATCAACATAGGTTCCATCACCCGACAATGGACACATCCCTCTCAGATACATACATCCAACACCTTCTCACTTCTCCTTTTTCCTCAGGTAAGCTTTCACTCCCTCCCTTGTCTCCTGCTTTCTTTTCCTACCATCCAAACCTACTCTCAAATGCTTTCTCTAATCATAAACTCTATACCTCAAATGTGAGGGCTAATGGAAAAGTACACCCAAGAAGTGGGGTGGATGTTTTAAAAGGGAATAAAATTATCTAATAGTTATACTTTTAATTTAAATATTTGTTTAAAATGTGATTTGGGTATGACTAAAAAATATTTTATTAATAGTGGTCAACTTTTTTTTAATATAAATTATTTATTTACGACATCGACAAATGTTTAGATTAATATTAACAAAATTCTAATAATTTTGTTAAAAAATTATCATACTTATATATTTCTTAAGTTAAGGAAAATGAAAATCTTTCATTTTTTTTTTCTTTCAATGGAGATTAATGACCTTTTGATGAGGTGAATTTCTAAATCACATGACATAGTTTTTGTTGGAATAACAAATAAACATTTGAAAATGTAAGACTACATACTCACATGTTACTTATAAGTTAAAATAGATTTTTTTTTGTTTTTTTTTTTTTTTTTTTTTAAGTTTGGGCATGTGGTTGTTTAGCTTGGTACATGTAAACTGAAAAAACTATATATAAACTTGTTAAAAAAAATAATAAAGAAATACAATGTTAAAATGTAATTTTTGTCCATGGATTTATTTTCATATATAAAAAAACATTTCTTTTTAAAATCATGTTTGGAGTGACGAATTTGTGGGAGCAATTATTTGATTAAGTTTCAAAGTGTTATATATATATATATATATATATATATATATATATATATATATATATATATATATATGATGTAATAAACAAATATGTTTGATAGATTAATTTCCATTTTTATTTCACTTTTAATCTTTTTTTAAACAACTTAATTAGTGATGTCTTAGTTTTTTTAAGTAATAAAATAGATTAACTTAAAATTATTAAAAATATTTTTTTATAAATAAGATACTTTTTATTATATTTTTATTTTTAACAATTTTAATTTTAAATCCTTATTTTATTTGTTTAAGACGAGGGATGTGCATGGATGTACAAAATATACTTATGTACTTGAAGAGACATTTATTTTTTATTCATTTTAATTTTATCTTTTTTTTTTAATTTAAACAATCTCATTTTTTATTTATTTTGATTATTTTTTCTTTTTTCACTTTTTATTTACTTTATCTCATCTAAATAAATAATAAACAATACTATATATTTATGTAGAAATATCGCTTTACTAGTAAAAATTCATTAACTCTTTACTAGTAATATTTGTTAAAAATCTTATTATTTGTAGTTTTTTTTTAAGTATGTATAGAGGAGAAGGGAGTACTACATATAATTATCTATTCACATATAAAATTTTAAGAAATTTTTAAGTATTTATCTCTTCTTTACCTCTAAAAAGGTAGAGTCAACACTATCTTTATCTTATGCATGACATTGAGAAAATAATAAATGAAATTTTAATCTTTAAATTTTGAAATAGTTTTATATATTTTACTTGATATTATTATGCTATAAAAAATAAATAAATTTATGAGGTAATATAATGTGGTATAATTAAGACATAATCATATTCTTTAAATATGGGTTAGAGATTTAATATTCATATTTTTGTTTATAAATAAAAATACATGAAATAGAGTACATAGAAAAAGACAATATTAGTGAAAACTAAAAATTTTTCTGTAATTGTTACTTTGAATATAGAAAAATATTTTCAACAACCCTTTCAAATTGTTAGATTGGAGAGTAAAATGAAAGAGATAAAGTTGTTCAAATCATTAAACATAAATAGTTACATCGTTAACAAAAGTTGAGATATGATTTAAAAAAAAATAGTTAATAAAATTGACATGTCATGAGACTAAATGAGAGGAATTAAAGAGACACAAAAGAAACTCATAAATTTTCCTTGTACAATTTAAAACTAATAAGAAGTAACAAAAAGTTAATATTATGTCACTTTCAACATCTATAAATTATAATAAACAATTTAAAGAAAATACTAAGTAGAGAGAAGAAAGTAAACTTCTAAAACAAAACCTATTTTATCATTTATATTGTAAATAGTTTACCTGCATTAATTTTGAGTTATTGATATTTTTAAACTTTTGACTTTTTTCATCTTTGTAATCTCAATATAATCATTTATCACTTTTTCACATAAAAATATTTAAATAATAAAAAAAAACCATATGGAGCAACTTTTACTATGCATAAAAATGTTTATTTTAATCCATAACTTTTTCTTTGTGATAAGATGATAGCTAATCAAGACAAATATGCAATGATTTGTATAGTATTATTAGATTTGTATGTATTTAACATTTATAGAAAAAAAAAACACAATCTTTTCACATAGTGAAGTCATGTGCAAGTGATTCTCTTCTATGCACACATTAACTATAAACAGTGACACTGTGTGCAGCAATCATGATGGCTATAGTAGGAGAAAACCTAATCACAAATCTTATATGCATGTGATTTACCAGCACACTCTGTGATGCAATTTTTAAATATATTTACACTTAAAATTTCATTTGAATCTATAACATTGTTTTTCTATGATCTCTACATATATTATTATTATTATCAGTTAAAATATTGACATTAGAAATTAAAATGGCAAAGGGATAGCTTTAAAAACCAGAAGAAAAAAAATCTAAAAGATTTCAAATTTTTTCTGTTAACTATTTAGAAATCATTACACCAATGAGATATATTGGAAGAACTTAACAATGTATTTACTGGTTGCATGAATTTGAGATGAGATGAATAAAAAGAGAGAGAGAGAAAAGCATTTGGAGTAACATAATAAAAGAATCTAAGGGTACAGGTGGGACCCTGAAGGGAGTGTGATGGTGTGTGTGATAGGATCTTAGTAAGGGCAGGGCACTATCAGAGGCAGAAGCCATATTCATTTATCAGTCTTTCTGTCCCTTCCCTTGCCATGGACGTGTAGTCCTGAAAAGCATCTGACCCACGTGCAAAAGTATGAGAGAATGGATCTGCATCTGCTTCTTCTCACTTCAAACAAAACCCCTATCACCCCTCTTTGCTTTCACATTTCTAGCTTCTCATTTTTTCCATACACAAATTTGAAATACTATTCATTTCAAGATGGATAGATTTTGTGTTTAAACTATATTATGGGATACCCCAATTCATGTTGGATTGAATCAGTGGAAAATAAATAAATGGGGTCAAAATAAAGTGAAAGGAAAAGATGTAATATATACTTTGGTGAAAAATAGAAAAAAGTTAAAAATTATTAATTTTGTTAGGAATTAAAAATCTTGACTTTGTGTAAGGTAAATATTGATGGAAACTGTGAATCCATGATGGTTGAAAGCAATGTAATATAATATTTTATGAAAGTAAAAAGAAAGAGAGAGTGAATGTTGAATATAATAACCATAAATTAGAGAGCTTAAAGGGACAAAAGGGGAACTTCAAACCACTTTACTTCCTTTTCAAACCCCTTCTTTTCTTGGCTTTTGTTTTGTTTCTTCATCTCTCTGCATCTCTAATAATACAATTGGGCTGGCATTTGCCGTGCAATGTGATTCTGTAACTGAGCTTCTGTACCATTCCCTGTGGGTCCAATAACAGTCTTTTACACCTTTGATTTTTAGTTTACCCATAAACTTTCTTGTCTTTTGCTTTCAAATTTGGATTCTTTTCTCTGCCACATACACTTTCATGGTTGCATTGCATGCCAAAAAAATGCTCCACTTCTTTCATTTACGCCACTTTTTACCTCCTTGATTAGTTACGTGTGCAACATAGTGTTTAGCAACTTTTTAAGTGTATATTGTTGAGGAAGCATGAGATGTAATAGGAAAAGAAGATATTAAAACAGAAAAGAGATATACAAAGATATGGTTGCATTAATTGCATGCCAACACAATGGTCTAGTTGTTTTATTAATGCCACTTCTTGTATCTATATTTACAACCATGCTTATTAATCACATGTGTGTAATAGTGTTAGCAACTTTTTAAATGTATGTACTGTGTTGAAGAAATGGGAGATGTAACGAGAAAGGATTAACAGATGAAACAATTCAATGAGTTATAAAAGAAGATGAGTGGAAAAATATCTTCTAGTTTCCTTGACTTGGCTTCATTTCTTTACTATTGTGCTTAGATGAAGTCATGTTTACAGTTATATAAATAGTTGCTATTAGACTAGTTTTTGTACCACCAGTAGTTCACCTTTGTTACGGTAACAAGTTAAAGCTGCATGCACAACTACCTACGCCTAAAAATTGAAGATTATACAGATTGTATGAGGAACTGACAGCTATTTTGTCCTTTGGTTGAGGCTATTTTTTTCTCCGTGCCAAATCAGTTGTTTATTTAGATATGAATTTGTTAGCATCCATCTAAAACATACATAAAAAGTTTAACATCAAAAGGGTGACATTACGATTAGCATGAATAGTTCTTACTTGTCAAAATATGTTTAGAAGCAAAGGTCAAAACCCTTAAAATAGTTTGTAGAACCGAAGGGCTGTTGTAACTGAACTGAACACCTTGAGAAGTAACTCAGCCTGTGCAAGAATTATAAAATTTTACTAATATTCTTATGAATGTAACAGTTAAACTAGACAAGAACTATACAGTTTGAAAAGCATTCATTCTAATTAGTTTGCACTTTGGCCTTCGAATGGAGAATTTTTTGGTTAGATAAAATGCAAATATTAGAGGTCGTGAATTTTTTTTGCATCATTGATATTTATCCTGCACATGCTATATCAACTGGTTACATGTCATTTAAATAAATTATCGAGAAATTGAATAGCATTGGCGAAGTGTTACTAGCAGTAGAACATGAGCTTCTTGATGTTTTCACTAAGTTTAGGTAGAGGTGCTGTCTTTGGAGGAGCAGCTCTGGATAGTGTAGATGTACTTCTGAACAAACCTAAGGACTCTGATCTCTCAAGGTAGAGTCTGCCTCTGTATGCAGCTAAATGGGCATAATATGCAGGAGGCACCAAAGAAATTGGCTTGGTACACCTGACAAAAGTGTAGCACAAGTTGTAAACCAGTTTCTGCAGTTCATCAGAAGTAAACTGGTTTTCATCCCACAAAACATGGTAGTGAGTTGGCCTACTTGTTCCTTTCACACCCCAATGGCTACAAAGGTAGAAATCAAATTCCTTTGGATGAGTGATCACAGAATCCACCACAGTCCCTGGAGGAATGTTTTCAAATAGAAAATGGTTTTGAGTTGGAGACTGGTCAGTTTCAAAGGGAAACAACCTTGTGTGATGCCTCTTCTGCACAACTGCAAAAGTAATGGAAGGTTTGTATCCAGGAAACCTTGAGCATGCACACCTGATTGACTGAAGCTCCTCTTCCAACACTTTGTAAAACTGAGTTTCACTAACCCCGTCTCTAAAGAAAATGATTCGGTTGGGGAGTTTCTCTACCTCCTGGTAAAAATCATCAAGCAATTCCCCCACCATTGCACCAAGATCCTGGATGATTTCTTGTCTGTGTGTCTGAGACCTTATTCTTGAAATGTATTTGTTAGCTGTTGGCCAATTCATGCTGCCAACAACAGCAGCAACAGATGGACTGAAATCATCAAGAGGGTGAGGATGTGTCACATCTGCACCCATGAATATCACTGGCTCGTCAATATGAAAGAGACGTGGTAACTGTGAAGGTAACGAGTTGTACAAAGCAACTGTGCACCCACCAACTTTGGCATTGATTTTGAGGGCCAAATTAGCCAAAAATTGTGAACTCAACTTGTTGAGATTGGGGTACAGGCAGCATTGACTCACAACACCAACACTTGTCTCGGCAATTCGTTTCAAGTCTGCATACCCTTTATGTTTTCTCTCCATTATGCAAATAAGAAGCTGGAGATTGTTTGAGGAAGACCTCTGGATCCTCTTGAGCTTCGATTCCAAAAGGGTGACATTGTTAAGAATCTGGCTTGATTCAAACTGCGGACTGATAACTGTTTTCTTGTTAAGAAAAATGCCCAATTGTTCACACCTTTGAGATAACTGGTTTATGAATCTTGGGACATTGGACTTCTGCTCAGGTGTGCCCCCAAAACTGATTAATGCCCACCTTTCAATAGTTGTTCCTTCGAAGACATTGCCATCAAGAAGGTTCCATTGCCGGTCGTGACGCGAAGGAGTCAGGTTTCGCACATGACCTCCATCTCCAAGCTTTAGTTTGGGAGGGTGAAGAATTCTACCAGTCAACTTTGTCATTTCTCTTGAGACTTGGAGTTTGAATTCTTTTTCCTGATCGCCACTGTAAAACGATTACAATTTTAGGCATTAGATAGAAACTAATACAAAAAACAATATAGATAATTATAAGTAAATAAACAAAGGGTCAATCGAAAGTACATAAAAACTGTAAATACTATCTATTCAACAGGAAGAAAAAATAGAGTATCTTGTAATTAGCTACCTGGTAGGTCCAACATTTCCTCTCATGACTCCTTCAATGATGGTTTTTCGTTCTCCCGGTCTTTGGCAGCCCATCTTGAGTATTCTTGCTGTTTGATCATCAGTCAGTTTTCCAAGGAACTTCTGGCCTTCACAGATCACACAAAGCTCCATAGGGAGATAACAAGGTTTACTCCTACTAATTTGCAAGCATGGCAATTTTCTGAATTGTATGTCATAGTTATAGTGATCTTTAAAGTAATTCACCAGCCTCAGATTCTTCCCATCTCTGTCAGCAAACCAAAGGTTTTCAGTAGCCTCCTCAGTTAATCCATAGACACGGTATCTCTGAACAGTTTCCCTGTGGCAAACAAAGACCCTAATGTTCTTCAATGCCTTCTCCACTTCCTTCCTCTCTTCACTAGTTAATTGAGCTGTCTTCCTTTGAGAAAGGTCTCGAAGAAACTCAAGGCGTTTCTGCAGGTATGCAATCACTCCTATGCTCTCATGGAAAGCAGTTACTGAGAAATCCACATTGAGAGCTAGTCCTTGTTGTGTTGGTCTAAGACTCTGAAAGAAGCCTCTCAATCCAACAGCTCCACCACCAATGTCTTTGCTTCTTCCCATTGAACTTGAATAGAATGACCTTCCAACAGGTATGCATTTCTCAGTAGGGCTCTCCCTAAGAACTACATCCAAAGCATGCAGATAATCCTGTGGAAGAGGAATCCAGTCATCACCATCTTTGCTCAAGTAGTTAGTCAACTCCTTCCCATTGATTTTTGAGACCAGTTTGATATTTATCCTGAAAAGTTTATGCTGCTCATTCTTCTCTTTCAAGTCAGACATTTCTCCATAAGATGATGCCAACTTGCTAGTGGGGATTGGGAGACTTATGTAGAACTCTAGCTTATCGTTTTGGAACTCAACTGGACTGTAAAGATTCTTTCTCCCATCATATGCCGGAGTGGCACCTGAGAGGACAGCAGAATTGTTATTTACCAACTTCTGCTTGATTTCTCTGGCAATATCCTTAGAGGGATGTGGAGTGATTTCAACATTGTAATGATAAATCTTTTGTGATGGATCAAATTCTACCAAAAAATGGTTGGCAAGAAGCGAAATCACAGAGCCTTCTTTACCACCAGAATCTGGTCTCCTTGCAACAATTACTGCCTGTGCCTTCCTTGCTGAAATGAGTTTCTTCCCATCATCTCCTTTAAAGGATCCCTTCGTTTGCTGCTGAAGTTCCTTTGGAGCTGAATCAGTGTAAGAAACAAGATGGTTCATCATTTTTCCAATTTATTTTGCAGCCTATGGATTGGTTCAAAATAGCGGAAGAGGTAAAGGAAGAGTAAATCCTTCCATTTTTGGACAAATACAAAAGTTTGGGCCCTTCATTTTCCCTTCTCCTTCAAACTTTTGAACCAAACATTATTTTACCAAAATTCCTTTGTCCTCTCCACTTCCTTCCAACCAAACAGCATGGTAAACTCAAGTTACCAAGTCCTTGTGCTCATTAGATGTTCATTTGTTTCCACATGAAAATTCAATTTTTCTACAGAAGTTCAGTAGATCTATTAATCTAAGTAAAAATTATTATTGTAAAATATTATATTGTTTGTTCTTTTAATAAAAATATGTTATTAACAAAATCCTTATTTTGGATCACATAAAAATTTATTAAATAAAAGGATTATCATGCATTGCTTATAAAGAATTACAAATTAATCAATACCTATATAATTACAAATTTATTTTTTGTAGGAGATAAGCGTTAAACAAGTCAATAACTATCTCTTCTAAGAAAGCCACGATGTAAATGAGAGCAAAGTAAGTTTTGAAATTTTTTAAAACTAGATTGAATGAATAGAAAAAAGTAAATAAATTAAAAAAAAATCAAAATTACTATCATATTTAGGCCTTGACTTTGCTTAGGAAACAATTTATCCCCAACCCATATGCACCAAGACTAGAACAACCCTTGCACTTTTTTCTGATAAGCCTGACAGACTCACCAGAAAAAAAAAAAAAAACAGAAAAAAGAAAAGTAAAAGGGACCCATGAACTGGGACAGCATAGTGAATAGGAAAATCCACCGTACTTCAGAATATGCTAATATTGGCTTCCAACAACTGGCACCATAAAAAGGGAAAAAGAAGGAAGACTTTCAACATCGCTAGCTCGTAGAAAAAATAAATTAACAAGAAAGTTGTTGAGTGAATAAAATTCAATCATGATATACTATGGAGAGAAAGAGTTGAACATTATTTTTCCCACAACTGTTCAACTGTTTAATAAAAGAGAATACATTAGAGTACTACTTTTGACAAAATCAACATTGAGACATAAGGCATCAAATGCAGCAAGTGGCACACTGATCTGATAAATTCCCCCCCCCCGCAAGACCTTATACTTTCTTTCACATGAAAACTATCAAACTAACGCAACATTGGAACAAACCCTTCGTGATTGAACTTTGGAAATATACCGTATGAAATGTTTCAAAAATATATGCACAACATGCAAAAGAACCAGGAAGAAATGTTTCTTCATGATATTGCCATGGTGGTTTTTTTTTTTGTATCTTTTATGTGAGAAGTTAAAGGAAAATTGTTTTTTATTTTCAAGAAAACCAAACAAGCTGGGCTGAAGAACAATGTTTTGGCTGCTGAATTTAAAAAAACAAGAATGCAAGCAAAAGGGGTAGTTTGAAAGGGAGGGAACAATGCTAGTGCTTACCGGGAGCAAGTGGTTGTGGAGCGAGCTTGTAATCTGAGGAGGGGGAGCTATTGAGTTTGCATGGAGGTTTGTCCAAATGGGTTTTTGATTTTATGGTGTGGTTTTGAGGGAAGGGTGGAGTCAAAGGAAGTTGTTGTAGTGGTATAAGAGAAGGTAGAGGAAGAAGAGCTGGGTAATATCTCTGATACTTGTTGTGGTTGTTGCAGAAACCAAGCTGAGTTGAGTGTTGAAGCAGCTGATGATGGTGCTGATAGTGATGATGATGATGGTGGAGGTGATGGTGATAACGATGATGCTCATGAGAGTTGCTTCCATTCCTGAAGCTCCTTCTTTTGGTGTTGAATTTCTGGTTAGCATTGGTGCACTCCTCTGCCTCTTCCATGGTTTGGTTAAGAGAATAAAAGAAAGAATTGAAGGGAGAGATATATTAAAGTGAGGATGGTTCAGGGAATATAAGAAGACGGGTTCTGTTTGGTTTTTGAGCTTTCACTACAAGTTGGAAGATGTGACAACAGAAACTACAAAGTGTTGAGAGAGAAGAAGACACAGAAGCAGAAGGGAAGGAGAAGTTTGGGTTCAAGCTTGTGGAGGTTATTTTATGCACTAGTCTTTGAGATTGGTGTAGTGACAATGTTTAAATAATGGGAAAAAAAATGAAGAAAAAAGAGAGAAAAGTGGCAGGTAGCCTTGAGTTGCATTAAATGAGAGGGTAAAATGGCAGTCACCAAAGAGGTATTGTCTTTATGCAGTTTGCAATCTGTCTGTGTAAGAGTGTATGACATGTTAGGGGCATTTATACCATCTTACATGGTCCTTGACTCACTGTCAAACACACAACACTGGCCCACACTTTTCCTTTGAATATGCAATGGGAAGTCAAATTAGGAGGGAAAGACCAAACAAACCCTCTCTCTGTCTCTCTCTACTTTATATTTATTTATTGTAATTCACATTTGTGCTTCTGGGGATTGGGTTTTCATCTTCCACTTGGATCATTTTGAGTTCACATTTTGTCTCTCCTTTCACTCTGGTCTAAAACATCATCATCCCTTTGCTATGTCACTATTGTTGTCTGTTTTTTGCAGGCTTAAACCGTATTCATGCATTGAATTTCCAGCTTGCTCTGCTCTGCTCATTTCGTCATCACCACACCACTCTCCTTCCATATCTCCTTCCTTTTCCATTTTACCGTTCCTTTCCTCATGAGAAAATATTTTTAAACCATTTTTCAGCAAATTGACAGAACTAAATACAGAATTTAATAAGAAATAAGAAATATTTATTACTATGATTTATAAGATGATTATGATAAAAATCAACAAATTTATCATAAAATAATCTATAATTAAATAATGGTATCCTTTTTTTACAGTGTTCAGTTCTTGTATTATCTATTAGTAAATTAGTATTTTGTTTGTCAAATATAACTTCAAAACTGAAAACATTTAACAATGAAGACATATGCAGGTAATAAATCAAAGAAGAAACTACTTCTAAGGAAAAATAAGTCACAGGAAATAATGTTCTGATAAGAACATCAGGCCTAGAGATACCTATCATTTTCTGTTCCTTTTCATTCAACTCCCCTGGATGTGTTAGGTTCATTGCACAAAGCAATCGAAAGAAGATTTAAACTCAACCCTTGTCCAATCCATAGGTTGATTACTGGATGCTGTTTTCTCATAAGGACCTTTTAAAAAACTCTCAACAAAAATCATAAACTACTTCATGCTTATCTCTTCCTAATTTTTTCTTCTAGTTCATTTTAATATAATTTTTTAATCCTTTCATTTGCCTCATCTTTAGTGTACATGATCAGTGGTGGTGGGACGTAAAAGGGTCATTCATGCACTTCATAAGATGGGTCTGTTTGAGACAAACATAAGTTGAATATGATGATGGGACAATGTTATGTATGTGGAGCATTAAGATAAGTTTAGTTTGAATATATACCGCATAACCCCACTAGTCTCCATTGGCTTTAATGCTGTTTACAATGTCTTTTAGTCATAATTTTGTCTATGTTACTGATGTAACTCAGTTTAATTATACTCTACTTTCATTCTTTCATAACATAATGATTCCTCCATTCTTTTAGGCAATATTTGAGTTTAATTTAATCTTATTTATAAGTTATCCAAAGCATATATTCACATATATAGTGCATGCCCGGTACAATACTGTAAACTATGCTTAGTTAATCTCTCAAAATCATGTGTTAACATAATTGACCACAGACATTTATGCTTAGTCTTTTCCCTTACCCTCAGTTGGCATGGGGCAAAACCAACTTTCCATTATATGAAACCTTGACATTAATGATTTCATTTTAAATGGAACTCAACTTTATCAAGTGAAAATATTCATATACTGTTCTATTATATGGTTAGGGGACTCGTGGAACTTAAACCTATATACATTCCACAGCCATTTTGTTCACTGGGACCATTTTGAACATTTTTATTTTTGATTAACTAAAGAGGTAAAAAATATAATTTAATGCTAGGAATTGAGAAGTTGCAGAATGATACTTACTGAATCGAGAGTGGAAGTTATCATAGACTTTAATCCCTAGCCAGCCCTAACTTGTGATGATCCCTATATCTTCACTTTGCTTTCTGTCCACTTTCCTGTTTGAACAATGCTACGTTTTAAAGTTCACTTATTTTATTTCAGTCTAAATTCTTATAAGCTTGTTTCTTAATTCAAAAGTGATTTTCTATGGTGACTTTATTTACAGATTCAACTGTGACAGTTATTACCACTCTTCTGTACATTCCATGGAATATGGATATAAGATATGGTTGTCAAAAGTGAAATCAGACTACACTGGCTTTACCTAGCAAATTTCAAAACTTTAATTTATTATTGATGTACTTGTGATATGCCTGCCATGAAAGATACAGCATGAGGAATCACACCCTTTTCATGGTTTTGTGCCTGCCATATTTCTGTGCTTATTATTGCCAATTCCCAGAATCACCACACCACATACAAGATTCCTTTCTTTCGTAGTTTGGAACTATGATAAACTTTCAGTAATAGGGATGCAATTTAATAACACTGCTGCTAACAAAGGTGTTTCTTTCAATATGGTACTTTAATGCCACTAAGACTAGCTAACCCTTGAAATTTCACATAAATTTCTTAAACTGCTTCCATTTTCTTTTAATGTTTAAAATTTTTATGGACCATGAACCTTTTGGTAGTCTGTGTAGACAATTTTAATGGTGTGGTAGTAGAGAGCTAGGAATCGATTATGGTTGTCTAGGTAATACCCTTCTTGTGTAAGTGTGTCCTAGATTTTTCTTACAAGTATCATAAATTTTTGTATTTGAATTTCAGTTTGATTGAAAGGGTTAAATGGAAAATGTTACATCATGTTTTGCATATAACTTGCTTTTAAGGACGTTTTGGTACGAGAAGGATATTTAATTTATGAAGATCTATTTTTTTGGTTCCTAATAAACCATATTTTTTTATAATGTTTTTTAACTTAAGTTCGTTAGAGTTAGGATGTAATAACTTATTTTTTTTAAATAACACGTTAATATTTAATTTATAAAAAATATAATTTTCCTATCAATATATTAATTAAAAAATACTGTGCTCAATCAACATTTTCTTCTTAGAAAACAAAAGAAAATGATTTGATCTATCTGTCCTTATTTTCTTTTCCTTTAAATATACATAGCCAAGCATAGGAAAGAGTGTTTGCATTAAGCAAAAACAAGTATGAATTAATTTATGTTAAGTCAGAAAGGAAAAAAAAATTGAATAGTGTATTTTCATAGGACATTTGGTGTGTATGTTGAGATAAGAACAAATATTTCCAGATTGGCATCAGAGTGATTGAGAGGTCATTTTTGTTTTTACTTGTCACCTCTGCTTCATTGCTTATGACATGTTTGAATTCATTGCCATAATTTTGCTTTGAAAAGGAGTCTAGGGAATCATAAACTTCCCTTGAGTTTTTTGTCGGTAATTGGATTCCAAAGAGGGCCAATTGTACCATCAATGTCAATAATTGATACCACAAAATTACTTCTAAATTACTATTTCACAAACATCTTCCTATGTCGTTAAGGTTTCATATCAATATGTGGAGTAATAATCGGATGAGGTAAATCGTAGTTTTTATCTAAAAATGAAAGGTATTTTTTAGTTTAAGACAATAATTAACAAAATATTAGATTTTATCTATCATAAGGTTTTAACATTAATTGATAATACACGAAGAAGTTTAACAAATATTTAAATTATCTCACATTAATGGAACAGAGATGATAAAAAGTTAAGTCCAACGAATCGACTTTCTCAAAAATTGATAAAATATATTAATAATTTTAGTTTGTTAATTGGTTTTGGCCTGTTTTATCGACGGATCAAATACGGGATAGGATAAATGGAGTTTAAAAAATATTTATATAAAAATAAAAATAAAATAAATTATAATAAAAAATATTATAATTTTTGTGTGTTATTGTTAAAATATATAAATATATTATAATTTAAACTATAAATATAATTTAAATTATAAATAAAAATCGATTAAACTTAAATTATTAATTATAATTAGGTATTTTAACATATAAATATTATAATTTTTAATTAATCTAATAAAAATATTAATTAATAAATAAAAATTTAAAAAATATTTATATAATTAAAATTGATTTTTTTAAAATATATATAAATTTTTTTATTAGACAGTGTGACCTAACATATCAAGATTAGGTCAACCCAATTTTATGACTAAAGACGAAATAAACTAAATAAGTTAAAATTTGATGGATTAGATGATTTTGTCGTTCATAAATAGAGTTTTCAATATAATTAATTTATTTTTTTCACTCTACGTGTATTATTCTAAAATAGGTTTCATTTCATTTTATATTTTAAAGAATTAATTATTTTATTACAAAACATCAAACTCATCAAAATAAAAAATAAAAATATATATTCTAGTAAAACTTTTTTTTGTTATAAACTAAATCGTTTAACAGGATTTAATTTTTTCTTTAATATGTATTTAGAAAATATTTTAATGTCAAATCTAATTTATCCTATGGACAATTTTTATATGCAAAGATAAAACTTTATAAATTTTTATATATAAAGATATAATTTTCATTCAATTTTCCTTTAAACATGTTGATTTTTCATTATACACCATTAATGATCGAATATCTTTTCTCCTTATATTGGATAACTATTGATATCAATATTAAATATCATTAATTAATCAACATTTAATCCCTTACTAATGATTTGGTTTGGCAATATTATCTCATCACAAGTAATAGCGTGTGTTGAATTTTCTTCCTCATCCTTGATTATATATTATTTTATATTGTACTCTATAATTATTATGTATCATAA